TCTGGCTGCTTGTGTAACTCTGATTCAGTGAATCGGGTCACTCGGTCAGGTTATCAGCTCGGACACCTCCTGCCTGCTTCCTTTTATTTCAGTCCAGGTCAGTGGGACACCTCCACTCGTCTTTCATAACCGTGGGACCCCCCCCACCGGGTCCTGCCTTTCCTTTTATTCACCTGTCTGGTTGTTTCTGGGCCACCAGGCAGCTAAAATGTCAGCCGGCGCCTCTGTGAGTGCGTTCAGAGACGCAGGCGTGAGGCTTGAGTCAGAAATAAAGGCTCATTGATGCCGACTCAGTGGCTTTCTGAATCATGAATATCAGTCTTATTAAGGTCGTTAGTCATCAGTGCCACAGTACTGACAGAAAGAAATGTCCCTGAGGACGGAGGAGCAGGTTCATACTGGGGGGAGGATAGTAGAGCTCTGTGAGACGGCAGGAAGTGACCTGACGGTTTGGTCCACACAGCGTCTGCAGGGTTTGAAGAGTGCACCGATCAACCGACTGGGACCAGAATCGGTCCTGATTGGTCACCACTCGGTCAGCCTCACGTACGTCTGATATTGAGCACACACACAGCAGTGCAGGTAAAAAGTCACACAGTTACAACTACATGCTAACACGCTGTTAGCGTGGAAGCTCCTCGCTGTCAGTAAAGAGAACATTCGCTAAATGGGAGGAATCACCATGGAAACGTCCGTAACAACGAACCAGATGAGGCGCTTGAATCACCTTCACACAGCTGACATGGACGTTCAAAAGAAGCTAATGCTAAAGTAGGGCTGAGAGCCACCTACAAGCTAGTAGCCTCGGTATGAGCAACGAAACAGTTGGGATGGATGTCCTGCTTTCAGCTGAAATCCTAAATGTGCCAGAAAATAATGAAAATACCTGAAATGTATTTAATACAAAGCCTGTGCAGCTTCTTTTGTCTGGTCAGATCTGTCAGTTCCTCATGATCAGCGATCTCAGGGAGAAAACAACCTGCAGCTTGTGAATTTTAATCTTTTCTTTTACAATCAAAACTTTTTGCATTGAAGGAAAACTGAGTTTGTTTTTTTATCTGCTGTCAGTGAGTTTTCTTAGAAAATCAGAGTAAATATCAGAATAAAACCTGAAATAAGCCGGAGAAAAAGAAGAAGGTAGCAGCTGGTTTGTGTTTTAGTCCATGCTGGGACTCTGATCAGCCAATCACACAACCAATCATTTCACCCTCGACTCAACGAACCAAGTATTTGAAGCCTGAAGCAACACAGTGCTCTCAGCGAGGACGACCTGCTGAGGCTTCGTCGTTTGTTTGGGACACTCTCTGGGCTTTCTGTCCTGAGATTTTGTTATGAAAGGACCTCTGTGAGCTCCGCAGCTGCAGACGACCTCCACCAAGGTCCTCTCAGACCGAGTTAGTGATCGTTGTGTTACTTCACCTCTGACTCATCCTTGTCTCTGTTTGCAGCTCCGGAGACGTCAAAGTCGGGGCGTCGTCTCAAGGTCTCGCTGCCCGCTACAAGAAAAGCCCGTGGACGGCGGCCACACTCGCCCAGGAGGCGCAGGAGCTCACTCGGACTGTCAGAGCCATCCTGGATGTCGACTGTAAGTGATCTCAGCTCCACGCACGCCGGTCTGCATGTCCTCCTCCTCCTGCTCTTCCTGTCTGTGTGTGCCGCCCCGCATGAAGCCGAAACAAACAATCCCGCCGACCCGCCGCTGTGAGCGACTGTCCTCCATTTCAGTGCTGAGCTTCTAGACGACCCGACTGTTGGAGAACAAAGTCGTCGAGATGTCGGCCGGACTTCAGCATCCAGCCGTGATCCCCACCGCTCTCTCCCCAACACCTCCTCAGCTCCTGCTGAAGGACTCGCCATGTCAGAACTCTGCATGAAAGCATCTGCACACAGAACAGCAGCTTTGTTCCAGCGTTTTAACCTGCATTCGCTGCAGGACGGGTCAGGTGTTTCACCTGGAAACACGACAGGAGAGAGTTTGGTGCAGGTTAACTCACTCGATGAAGGCGTCTGTGAAGCTGAGCGGCTACATGAATGTTTTCAAGTTTGGCCATCGATGAGAGAAACGGCACCAAAACCCGCAGCTCCACATTCACAATCAATTGTTGTTAATTGCCTGAAGAGAAAGTTTTCATATTGTTCATATTCGTAATAGAACTCAGCTTTATTTAAATATCATTACTTTTCTTTGTCAAAGTGCTAATTTATGTTTGTAACCATTTTCAGCCCTCAGTGTTAGCATTATCAGCTAATTAGTGCTGAGGAACATCCGAATAAAAGCCCAGAATTTCAAAAACCAACATTTAAAGGTCGGCTCTGCGGCGCTTTTTCAGATTCTTCACAAAATTTTAAAGCATAAAAGAAACGTGAACGTTAATAAACAGCCGATGCAGGTTCAACGTGACGTCACATTTTCAGGTGGACGAATACGAAAATCCACAGAATTAAAATGTATAATAAATGTTTTTTTAAACATATAGATGTTAATAATCACTGTATGATGATGATGATGCAAA